CTCTGCTTGGTAAGAAACCACTTTGCAATCTGTCTACATCCTACACAGCACAGGCCGTTCTTTGCCAATTCAGGCAGGCAGGACCTCGTAACAGCCACCACACAGATTCAGATAAAGGCTCTGACTGGGCCAGTAAGCTGTGCTCAGCACTAACCAGAAGTGAATGCTTAAGAGTGAAGACAAGAAAAATATCTATAAGACCACTCCTGACTACTCTCCTGGGCTTGGACTACCTTCCATCCATGAGACTTCCTGAGCCAGGTGTGCTTTATCTACCTCTCTCTGACTCACTCTATCAAGCATTTTTCCCATTTCCCCTTCAACCCAGCTGAGCTTTTGCTGTCCATAGCATCCATTGGCAAGTAATTCTACAAGGCTGCTAAGCCTTGCATGGCAAAAATGACCTATTTTTGCATGTTTTGAAGCTGTCTCCTGTTGTCTTTAATTTGATGGCCCCTCGTTTCTGTGCTGGAAGCCAGTCTAGGCTTCGGACCACTCGTGGCTTTGCAGATACAGCAAAGTCACTCCTGTCAGTGCGCTCTGTCTCAAGCTGAAGAGTCCCTGTCTATTTTTTCCTAGTACAGAGGCTGTTTTGCATCTGCAGTCACCTTGGCAGCCCTTCTCTGACTCTTTTCCATGTCTACTCCAGGGAACCAAAACCGCATACAGTATTCAAGGTTGAGGTGAACTGTGGATTCATGCAGTAGCACAATGACATTTTCTACTTTGTTCTCAAATTCCTCTCCTATCAATTCCTAACTCTCCATATGGCTTCTGACCACTGCTGAGCACCGAACTGATGTTTTCATGGAACTTTCTATTGCGATCTTTGAGTCTTGCTTCTATATGGTAATGTTCAAGAGGCCATGAATCTTCATGTGAAATTAGGATTTTTTTGCTTGCTATGTGCATCACTTTACATTATCTGTCTGGATTTCTTCTGATGTTTTGTTGCCCAGCCACCAAGCTTTTTCAGGTCCTTCTACAGTTTTCTGCAACCTGTATTCATCTTTACTCCAACAAAAAAATTTTCTCATAACCCAATTTTCTCCTTGCACCATCTGATCTCTTTTCTGGGTCATCTATGAACACATTGAATGGCACAAATTTCAGCCCAGTTCCCTGTAGGACTCCTCTGGGAACCATTCTCCCTTGCAAGAATTAAATGTGTGCCTCTATTCTGCATCTCCTATCTGGCAATCAGTTCTTTATTCTGTATGGGATTTCCCCCCTTATTCCAATGCTTTAGTTCCTTAACAGCTTTGGTTAAGGATTTAACCAAAAGCTGATGAGAAATTCAAGTAGATTGTATCAATTAGATCAGTCTTATCTACATGCTTGCTGACCCCTTGAAAAATTAATTAGAGGTTTACAAAACAGGATTTTCTGTTACGTAATCAGTGCTACTCTTCCCAAATGGGTCATATTGATCCACACGGTCTCTCATTCTGTCCTTCATTACAAACCCTACTTAACTGCCCAGTGCAGATGTCTGGCTTACGAGGTAGTAATTTCCTACTCTCTACATGGAAAACAGGATAGGAGTGCAATATGGTTACTTAAATCATGAACCATGCAATTTTTTTTCTAAATCTTGCCATCTACCTATTGATCAATTGAGTTACATGTCAGCCCTATCTTTCTTTTTCTTTCTTTTCTTTCTTTCTCTTTCTCTCTTTATTGATCTCTCTCTCTCTCTCTCTCTCTTTCACTGGAACACAAGTTGGTTTGTCTTGCCTTTTTTCCCCCAAACAGGAAAGCACTACCCAAGTTAGTGATCATGAGAAAAATTTAACAACTGGTAATATATTTATAGCTGTTTTTAATCATAAAAACACTATACACATCTATCTAACAAAATTCCCTAATTTAACCTAACCAGCCTAGTAAACACAGATTTAAGATTATTATTTCTACATTCGATGTTCAACTTTATTATTTTTTTCTGTCAGATAGTTTACCCGAGTTAGATGTGGTAATGGACATGTACCAGATTTCAGTCATCACAAGCAAGATAGAAGTAATCTTTGCTCAGTTCCAACAGCCCATTTTCGTTACTGAATTTAAAGCAAGTTATTCTGCTTCCACTTCTGCTGAATGTGTTTGCCCATCAGCAAAGATGGATATAAAGCAACTCTTCAATTTGGATCCTAACCTCTTGTGCCTGCAGAGCCACATCTGACACAGTGTATTTAGACTGTCCTTTCAAAAATGACACACCCCTTTTCCTCATATTTGGATCTAATCTGGTAAGTACCTCATATTCTACATTCCTTCCTCCCAAATATTAGAAAAAGCTATTCTGTTCCTCTGACCAAGATCTCTCATGTGATCAGTGTTAAGTATTTATATTAAAATCTTGTAATTCCAGGACTTCTGCTGTCCTGACAACATTCTGCCAGCTATGGAAACAGGATGGTCAGCAACTGCAGATCAATAGACAATGGATTTATTTTATCATAGGTTGACAATACTTGTCAAGGCTTACAACTGATTAAATGCTTTCTGCAGCCTAGGATTGTTTTTACAATTTCATATTTGCACAGTACCATATTATTTCTGTAATATCTAGTGCTCTTTATAGTCACCTGTTTTTTACTTTTGGGTTAGCGTACTTAATCTTATGAACTGAATAGTGCTTCATATTTAGCAAAGACTCAACTTTACACTACTGAACTAGCATGGTAACAGAACAGAAACTGACCAATAGAGAGTTTTTTACATTTTTGTTGTTGTCTTTCATACCATAAATGGAAAAAATACAACTAATAAAAAGATACATCCAAGAAATTAATAATTGCTTATTTTGATTGTTCTCGTGGTGGAACAGAAATCATTGCAAGTTATATCTATAGTGCATAAAACACATTAAATCTGTTGATTGCACATAATATCTATGTTTGTCTAATTATTATTTCAAATATTCATTCAAATAATTAATTGGGAACCAAAGCCTCAGAATCATATCTGCTGTAAACCAACAGCAAATTCCTTTTAAATCAGTGATACTTTGGCAGACATGAGGGGCTGACTTCATTTTACTTGACATTGCTGGACCGATCTTTTCAGATTCACCTGAAAACAGATGTACTAGAGACAAGCTATTTATAAAACATAGAGTTATTGTGTCATGCCATGGGAATTTAAATGTGTCAGATAATCTTCCCACAGGGAAAATGATAGCTGGATTATTTAATATAGACTGATATCCTGTCATTCCCCAGATAATTCCATTGTGGTTTTTATTTATCAAGTGAATTTCTGTCTGTTACCACTTCTGTATCTTACACAGCTTAGAAAAATATCCATAATTAGCAGATATAAGGCAGGTGGGGAAGATAATCAACCCTTATCAGATAATCAGTCTCTGGATCCTCCATTCCTTTCTGTGTGGTGTGCCAAACCCTGTCTTCCCACTGCTCAAGCAATACTTAATTTTCACACAAAGTAGAACAGCCGCAGGGACTGAATGGACCCCACTGCCAAATATATCCTAACCTCTGAGGTCAAGGCTTTTTGTAGGCTCTGATCCTTGTGAATAGAAAAGAGAGGTTGAAATCCAGGTATCCTGAACTCCAGGTGAGCATTTTTGGTACCAGATAAAAGAGATGTCTGAGGGCTCCCTTTGTGAGTGGGATCAGGCATAGGCTGAGTGTATCTACTGATCAGACACAAGGACTGAGTCAGGCAGAAAAACATCTATTCTTTATCTTTATTTTATAATCTGCGCAGTTACCCATGTCCCAGCTGTGTGTATGACCTTTACCCACAAGTTAGGTCCTTTTGTGCTGAGGACTTCACAGAGATGGTCCCTAACCCAAACCCTCTACCAGCAGGAAGCAGCTTGCAGCTGTGGCTACCGAGGCAAGTAATTTAATGAGGAATTTCACAGGATGCAGTGAAGTGACAGGATAGTCACAGCCAGCCCCACCTAGCAGTAAAGGGTGGCATGGGGAAAAGCATGAAGCCGCCTTTTTGTAAAGCTTTCGAGAAGGGAATGGGTTCTACACTGCAAATGGGTCAGGACTGAAGTTTAACCTCTGGGATGGGGTGGGGATGGTAAGCAAATTGGAGTCAGACACAAGTTTTAAATGAGTCTGAAAATGAGAAACAGGTTTATGTCTACGTAATGCAGGCAGAGGAAACGCTCAAGAGCAGAGAGGACAAAGAAAAGGATAACTGAAAAAAACCCTATTAGGGTGAATTATAACAGTTTTATAGGAGTGGACTGGCAGGAAAGACTGTCTTTAAGAAGTCATGCAAGGAGACACTTCAGGATCTGGGTGCAGCAGTCCATATCTGGCAGGCTGTAGCAATTAGTAGTGAGTTTTCAAATCGCAATGTTTCAAAAGAGGTGCTGGCAATTACTTTTTCAAGGATGCTATTAATCACCCTGTGTGCTTCCTGCTCCAGTGGGATCTACTGAAAAATTCCTAGAGATGTTGTTATATGGTAACAAAACAAAGCAAAGCAGTGCCGAGGGCTACCGAATGATCCATATTGTCAAACTCCAATTATCTGGCATTTATAAAAGACGCTAATTATAACTTACTTATTATTAGCTTCAGGGTAAAAAAAAATATCCCTCATTATTTGCGACTGCACATTCGACAAATCTAGCACGCCCACAGCAAACACTGACTCGTGCAACTTAGGGCTTATAGTTCTTATTTTCGTCCCAAATTAATTTTCCGGCCGCTGTGCAGCTGGTGAGCTGGTGATGCTTCCATAAAGCCAGATGCTTAGATTAAAAAAAGCCACCAGAAAGGAACAAATTGTGCAAAAAGGCCGAAATTTCCCCCATCCCGCCCTGCACCGACCCCGCTCTCCCGCTGCAGGAGCGGGGGACGGTGCAGGGGGGGAGGCGGAGGCGGGGGCGGGGCTCGTGAGCGAGGAGGCGTGGTCTGAAACCAAGGGGCGTGGCAATCCGGCAGCTCCGCCTCCTTCCTTCTGCGCATGCGCGAGTGGCCGGAAGCCGGAGTAGAGATTAGGCGGCGGCCATGGCCATGGCGGAGAAGTTCGACTCCCTGGAGGAGCACCTGGAGAAGTTCGTGGAAAACATCCGGCAGCTCGGCATTATCGTCAGCGACTTCCAGCCCAGCAGCCAGGCTGGGCTCAACCAGAAATTGTGAGGCCCTCCTTCATTCCCCCCTTTCCTCGTTCCTCCACCCTTAGTTGCCAGGCCAGGCCACGCCACGGGGCCCTTATCTCCCTCCTCCAGCTTCCTGCCTCAGGGTCCCGGAGGTCTTGACCGGCGGATCCGTCGCCCTTCTGCCCTACGGAAACGTGGAGGGAGCGGCTGAGAGGTTCGCGGGGTTTCCATCGCTGCGGTTCGTGTCGCTGGCCTGGCAGCTGGGGTTAGGGTTAGCGCAGGATGTCCCTTTTTGGGTAAAAATATCCTGATTTCTTCTGACAGGAATTTCATGGTGACGGGCTTGCAAGATATTGACAAGTGCCGGCAGCAGCTTCACGATATCAGTGTGCCCTTGGAAGTTTTTGAGTAAGTAACTCAGGGGAAAGTGCTGTAGTGGGGGTGATTTGAGGTAGCGTGTGTTTGTAGTGTGGATATTTTCCTTGAGGACTGCTTGTTTTTTAAACTCCAACTTCTGAATGCCTCACAAGGCTGTGAGCAGGCAGAAGAAGGTAAGAAGTACCTTTTGGCTGTGAAAAAGTGGAAGGGTTAGAGGAGTGAGAAAATATACACCTGTTTTCAGCTCTCTTCTTTTTTCTTTTTTTCTTTCTTTTTATAATTTATTTTGACTTTACCTATGTAGGCTGCAATACAGATTCTGCCTAATCTAGTGGTTTAGTAAGTAAGCTTACATTTTGGAAAGACACTTTACACTAGGTTAGAATCAGGACTTAAAGTTGAAGGTGAAAATAAATTAGGCCAGCACTTAGGTGTTTCGTTTCAGTAGTGGCAGAGAATTGGAACAGTAAAAGAAAAATCATTAATGTAGAGAGAGAGCTATCTAAGACAGCTTTTGTGATATAGTTGACAAGTTAATTCACTAGTGTTCCTTGTAAGTCCGGATGTCACTGGTTTACTATGTTCTACTGTCTTACTGGCTCTACGGGACTTTTTTCAGTTGGACTTTCTATCTGTAAATCTGTGATGATAGCCTTAAATGTTCTGGGCTTTTTTATTCAGTGATGATATTTCCCTTTGTCAGGCACATGTATTGCAAAGCAAAAATGCAGTTAGAAGTTTGTCAGTACAGATGTGCTAATTTTTACTCTTCACTGTGGTATGTATGCTTTCTCCTCATCGTTGGATTGCTGGGTACTGTATTCCTCTGTGCTTATTGCTCATCATGTACTAAGATCTTTCTTCATTCATGTGTCCTTATTGCTGGTAAGGAGCTGGGTAATTAAATCTCTTCATTTTATTTTAATACTTTAAATTTTAATATTTTAAAGCTCCAGGCTTTCTGGAAAGAGATGTAAGACAGCTGCCTGCTGGCCACAGCCTTGTCCTCCTTGAGCTGCCTTTTGAAATTGTCTGAGTTAAACGGTGTTTTTTAAAATGTGCATTTCAGGTGACAGTAGTAACAAAAATACAGCTAGGTGAATAATTCTGTATCTTGGAAAACATCCTAGTAGCCTTATGATCATTTACGTAGTATCTCTCCTTTTTTCAGATACATAGATCAAGGCCGCAATCCTCAGCTTTACACCAAGGAGTGTCTAGAGCGAGCTTTGGCTAAAAATGAGCAAGTAAAAGGAAAAATTGATACAATGAAGGTAAACCAGAATGTTCAAATATGTGGCAGTTTTATGTTAGTATGTGAGGGTTTTTCACTTGTGCACTTATTAATTTCCCTTATTAGGTGGTTTGTATTAGAAATTGCTCTGCATCCCTGTATCTTAATTGATGCTAGCGCAGCCTGTTCTGGAAAGGAAACTTGTAATTCATCCCACAGTTGGAGATGAAGATGTTGCTATGGTTTTATTTTGGTTAAAGTTGATTGTAGCATTACAGATCTCTTTTTGTTGTTTTCGTTTTGAATACCTAGTGAGTGCCTCACGCTGTTATAGATCTGTAACTGTGATATGTGTGTAATTTAGAACTAAGCAAACAGAAGAGGTGTTTTTCCAGTCTTGAATGGATCTTAGAGCATAAAAAATGTCAAATGTGCTATATAAACATGACTGAATATTTATAAAACTACTTAAAGTGTGTGCCAGTGTTTGGGTTTTCTGAACTGGTACACTTTGATCTGGTATGGACCTAAGCATTCTGCTACACTGTTTAACTGCTGTAATTACTGCTGAAAAATACTATTGGAAAAGGAAGTTTCGTGAGATTTGAGAAAGGGGTGTTTGTGTTTCAGAATGTTTTTTGGCTGAACTTAAAATTAGTGTGGAGGATGGCAGTTTGTGCTGCAGAATGTAGACATAGCATATCTCTGTGGGTTTTAAGCTTCTCTTTCTTTTGGTATGCTCTGTGCTTGGAAAAGTGGTAGGAGGAATTATGTATTTCTAAGGCAGGTGTCAGTTCCTTTTTGGAGGTGGAGGGGATTCCATGTCAAATCAGGAGGACGTGTCCTTCATCAGCTTTGCTGTAGGGTCAGATGGATATTGATGCACCAGAGTTTACCAGAGAGGTCCAACTACTCTGTATTTCTTAGGTGAAAATGCTAATTTGTGGGAAATTAAAACCATTTTAGTTTGCCTGGTGCTTTCCTAGTGGATTTCAGTTGAGCATTTTCTGTAAATTTTGTAAATGTGACTTTCTGTGTGTGCGTGTGTGTGGTTTTGAGGGGTTTTTTGGGTGCCGTTCTCTTAGGTTGCTGAAATAGACATGATCATAGAGCTGTGTTGTATACAAACATTTCTGTTCATCAGATAACACTGCTTGATGGAATCTAAATAAATTGTGCAGATGATGTATATACATTTTTTTCTCTTTCCAGAAGTTTAAAAGTCTGTTAATTCAAGAACTGACAAAGGTGTTCCCAGAAGACATGGCAAAGTACAAAGCTATTCGAGGAGAAGATCCTCCTCCTTAGATTGGCCTTTGACAGCTCGAAAGATGTCAATTCCATAGACTGACACCATTCTAAAGAAACAGTGATTGTAGAGAGGGGGAATCCAAGCCTTCGTAACACCTATACTAAAAATGGCAGTGACGGGCTGTAAAGGAGCTTGATCGCTGATGGTTCTGGTCTGAAGCCACTGAATCTTCCTGAAGACTTTTGCTCATAGGTTGCAGTTGAAACTTCCTATGAGGAACTGTTTTTCTTTTCTGAAAGGTTTTGGAGATATATTTGCCTGCAGGTCATCAATACATAGCATTTCCCACAAAGTGCATTTCCGGAGCATAAAATAATGGGTTTTGTCTTCTGAAAAGTGTTTTCCAGGATTGTGGGCTCATCTGTGTTTAAGAGAAATGTATTTATTATACTTGATTATTTTTTCTTTTTTAAACGGCTTTTTTTTATTACTGTACAAACAATTGACTGCTTTCATCTTGGCAAATTCTGCTGAACGGGAGGTTGTCAGGGTCTGTGGTTCTCATCATGTGTCATCATGAACTGCAGCCAAGAACACCTTCAGATATTTTTGTTTTGCTTTATGAGCTGAAGTGCAGATGGCTGAGGATATGGAAAGTGAGCATATTTGGGGACTAGTTAATATTTTGTATAGTATTTAATGTAAGCTTTTGTTTACTTCTGAGCGCTTTCTGTAAGCAGATTGCTGAATAAAAAATTGGAAAAAAATTTCAATTGGAATGTTCTTCTGTTGTATGCTCTTTGGAGAGTGAACTGAAAGCTGTGGAAAAATAGCATGTTCCTCAGTCTCGTAGTGATAGAAATAAAATGTATATCAAAACTTGGCTGTCGAAAGTTTAAAGATAACGTCAGCTTGATATTTATGGGGAAAACTTCCTTTTTAGTACCTGAAGCAGGAGGTTTTGGGGATCAGTGATTGCTACCTGAAGCATTTCTGATCAGCTGCCATCTCATCTGTGAAGTCTGTAAGTGTTCATAGGTAAGGGAGTCCTGGCCCTGAACAGCTTGCTGGGGTCACTACAGGGGCACAGTGATGAGTTTTACTGTGGGATTAAGAGGACCTCTTAATCTTGGGGATTTTATGAAACTTGAACCATTTGTGCTTACGTTTGTGCTTCCAGATGTAACTTGATTATTTTTTTTCCACTGGCAAATGAATTTTAGTTCATTAACTTTCTTTTAGTTTCTAAACTTGGTGGTTTTGGAGCTCCAAAATACCACTGTATGCATGTCCTCTATAGCAGAGCTACCTAGTGAATTAGAGATCTTAATGGGGATATAGGTGCGTTTAAGTTGTTGCCATCATTTCCACACCTGAAGTACTGCCTGTGCTCAGTTACCTAGCTGAAGCAAAGCTCATCCATAATGCCAAACAACGCTGCACTTGGCCAAGCTTTGGTATAAGAAGAAACCAGAAAAATAGTGTTCCTCTGCATTAGTTACTTAAGACTTGTTACCTGGCAGTCTAAATGAATCTAATTGCTGTGTGATATTATCCTGCCTTGCCCTAATCTGCAGGCTTCCTTTTCCATGTGCTTGCTCTACCGCTAGTCACTCTTCTCCCTTCACAATTTCACTATGCTATCTTGGTAGAAAACAGCAGCAAAGAAAAAGCTCACCATGTTTGCATTTTGCACTGCCTGAATTGCTGTAAGTCCCGAGGTAGTGTTGAAGCAAGGCTTGTGACCAGTAAGTGGGATGTGTATAGGGAATGAGCAGAGAACATAGGAGTATTTTTTCAGTGCACATAATGCAGTGGGAAGCGGAGCTTGGGAGCAAAAATATCATAGGTTAGAGTGTTTAAATGGAAGTTGTGAGAGAACAAACATTCATGAGACAAGAGGACCAGTAGATACTGGTCTGGATACTGGAGTATTCTGGTTGACACCAGTTTGTGTGTCCAACTTGGTGGAGTAGCACACTTAACTGGTGCTTGCAGGAAGTCTTATTTTTATATCTACTTCTCATTCCAAAATACTTTAGTTGTGCAAGTTCTCTTAGAAATCTGTTTTAAAAAACAGTAATCAAGATAGACTGTCCATGCCATCTGGATTTGGGGATGTGTAAACATTACAGGGTGAGTCTCCTAATGCTTTAGTATATCCTTGGTAGCTTTAATTTTTGTAACACCAACTTAAAAAAAAAAAAAGACACCACTGTTCAGTATCAAATGAAAACAAACCACACAGGATTCCTCCCTAGAACGAGGTGGTGGTTTGTTTGAATGTAGCCAGACTCCCTGGGGAGGCACTGGAATGGATTGACCAGGGAGGGGGTAGGATCTCCATCCCTCTTCAGGGGTTTTTAGCTCACCTGGAGTAGGCCCTGAGCAGCCTGATCTGGCTTTGCAGTTGGCTCTGCTTGAAGTAGTGGCCAGGCTAGGTGAACTCTAGAGGCTTTTTCCAAATGATATGATTCTGCAACTCTGATTCAAATAAGAGTTTGTAATTACAAAAAGGAGAAGGGTAGGGGCTAAAATTGGTGAAAGAGAAACATAGATTAGGCATTTAAAAAAAAAATCTCATTCTAAGGATAGTAAAGCAATGATACAGTTGTCTTGTTGAGTTTCCATCAGAACATTCACGAGACATTGATGTAGTTAATACTGTCTTAAAGCAGAGAGATAAACAAGATAACTTCCTGTGGTGCCTTCCAGACCTTTTCTTACTTGTAGAATTTTGCTGTTCAGAAAGAAATGAAATTGCATATGGATTAGTGTAAAGTATTTCTTGAAAAGGGAGTGGGAACTGAAAGTAAGGACAAGAGGCAGTGGATCTGAGTTGTGATGATGGAAATCTGATGGACCAGAGTGAGTTCTTGGCTCTGAGACTGGTTTAGCACTGACACAGATGCTCAGAGTGGCTGCAGAATTGCTGCCCTTGGAGGTTTTCCCATCTTGCCTGTGCAAAGCCCCGAGCAATCAGACATAGCTTAAAAGTCAGCTCTTCTTGGGGCAGGCCGCTGAACTAGATAACCTGCAGAGGTCCCTTCCAACAATTTTTTTTTTTATTTTCTATGATTCTGTTATATTGCCTTATCACAGGGAAAGGTTTTTGACTGTTCAGTCTCAACAATGATTTTTTTTTTGTTGCAATATGCTGCAGGTGATAGCAGTATTTAACCAGTACAGGGACCTTTGCTTTTATGTATTGCAAATTGTTAGCACCCATGCCTGTAGGTGAAGAACTGACAAGGTGCTGCAAAAACTTGTACACATAAATGGTTTTAAAGATGTTTGGGCTCAGAAACAGTTTTAAGTGTACACAAAGTCAACTTTGAAACAAAGTTGAGACCTCTGGAGGAACTGAACTCTCAAGGCAGTTCTGTCTGTGCAGTGCATCTTTGTTCATTTCTAAGCCCACTGCATTTGGTTGGCATCTCTGTGCCTGTTTCCAGTTCCTCAAATTAATGATGATATCCCTGTTGGTAACTTTAGGGGCATTAATGTCATTACATAAGATTCAGGTTTTCAACCAGGAACAGGACCTGTCTTTAGATTCTTTAATAAAAAAATTAACTACTTAGTCTTACATTCTGCTTCCTCCTTTGATTCAACTCCTTTGCTATGATGCCAATCTAAAACTTTTAGCTTATCTCTTTTGTTTTAAGCACCATATTCTAAAATATAGCCCTCATTTTCAGATTAGGTTTTACCCATATTGTTACTTTGAATTTGAGCCTTGTATATTAATTTATAACAATATCACACAATATTTGGCTGGTACTGTAAAAATACTATTACAGGATTTACATTCTAGATGCTGTGTGGAGCTTAGCATCACATACGTCTCTATCAGTTTATATGCTGACCAGCTCTGTGTTCTTCAGCCCAGAACTAATGAGCTTTATATGGTATGGATTTTTCCTAATGTGTTCTTTCCATGTCTATATTCCATGCTACACATTCCACAGAAACTAATAATGGATTAGTGCAGCTTATAATGTATGGATTTACTCCTACTGCTGATAGGAAAAGAAGGCGTGAGAAGGAAAGGGATACTTTTGGCAGATTTGCTGGAAAGAGGATTTGTTCCTTGAATATAAAAACACTGAACAGAATTCAGAATGTAACTTTCTGAATATTAAATATTTTTGTATGTGCTGGAAATTTCCTTAACAGAACAACCCCAACTTCTGTGCATTGCTTCAATGCGTCACAGCTGCCCTCTGCCTGCTCTGCAGCTGAATTGTTTCTCCACAGCCCCCCTACTTTCCACTTCTTAAGAGCACCAGCAGGGTAGGGCAAGATGAGCTTTTTTTTTTCCTTAGTGAAAGAGAAACTCCGTTCACAGAATCTGTGGATATTCTGTGCCGTGGTGGGTTTAGTGTGGGAAGCCCGTGAGATGAGCTGACTTGTCCAGCAAGCATCCTTTCTGTCTCAGCTGCAGCCTTTACATTTCTCCACAGAAATACCTACGCGCTTTTGCGTTAGGTAGCCTCCTATACCCTATGGAAAAGGCTGATCCTTTTGCTGCTGTTATGACCCCATCATCCTTCTATAAATGCAGTACGAAGTACCCAGACTCAGTCTATGCGTTTGATATGTTTGTGAAGCATCATTCAGTTTAGGCCATGTTTTCCTGAAACTGGCACCACATTATGTATTGGATGTGCCAGCTGCATAACGCCACAGCAAGGCCTCCTGCATTCTCACTTCTCACTGTTTTTAATGCTGTTACTGCAATGTTATTCAAGTAGTTAAGTTGATTTTTACAGAATAAACAGGAGTGGCAGAAGATTCTAACAAATAACAACTCTCACACTTCCAAAACCAAAATCACAGTAGTCTCTAGGGTCCATTTTGTAAAAACACAATCGAGAAGATAAACCATCCAATTTCTTTCTTTTTGCCCTGAGTGATCTTTTAGTTAAAATCTCAAACAATTACGAACTACTTACTGAACTCGCACTTTTACTGAAACCTCTCTAAATCAATGTATTTAAAAGGTAAATTATATAAACAAAGACTTAAAAATGTGTAAGAAGTGTTCCAAATACTGAGCTTAACACCAACCTAATAAAGGAGAAATATGGCTGCCAAGAATATTTCTGGATTCTCATGTTTCAACACAAAGTCATTTCTTACTTTCCTATGATTAATAGCTGCAGCATTTCTGGGCAGCTGCCAGATGTCCTTCCAGCTCCGCAGGGCACAGAGTCAAGGTGACACCGGAATCTGCCCTGCTCTGAGAACACGACGTTTGCTGCGTGTACTTCAATTACTTCCATACGCCTAAGATCCTTCTGTGTATTTTCTTAATTAAAATAATGGAGGAGCACACATTGCAAAATACTCCTGTAAC